AAATTATTCTGGGAACACATTTCTTGATAAAAAATGTTTCTCTTGACAGTTTTTCATTTCTAAATATAAATGCAAGCTGAATGAACCAGCTTGCAAGCCAGATTGGCTTGGCTTGTCAATTGATCTCCATAAGCTGAACTAAGCTAAACTGAAAAAAAAGTGGCTTAGCTCAAGTCAGTGACAATCCAAGCCAAGCTGGCTTATGCAAAGCTTTAATTAGAAATAATACTAGAGATGATACTATTGTTAGTTTTACTAGCTTTATTATTAGTGTTGACTTCAATTTTTTTTATTTTAATATTAATTAGCATAAAATTAAATTAAAGAATTTATATTAAAAATAAAATTTAAAAGTTACCTAAATAATCTCTTGAAAATCTTATTTTTTTATTAATATTGGAAAGGTATTAACTTTGATATTATTTTAACTTTAGTATTGGCTTTAATTTTAATATTAATATTAATACTAGTATTATTATAAACTTTAATATTAGTGCTAGTATTAGCTTTAGTAATATTAACATTAATAATAGTATTAGCATTAAAGATGGTCTCCATAATTATTTTTAAATTTCAATTGAGTTGCAATTTAATTATACTATAAGGAAATTTAATTGCGTCACAAGTTGCAACTCAATTACACCATTTTTTTAATTGCAATGACTATCTTTAGTTAGCATTAATACTAGTATTAGCTTTGATAATACTGATATTAATGTTAATTTTAATATAAGTTTTGGTATTAGCTTTAATATTAGAGTTAACATTGTTACAGATACTAATGCAACATTAGTATTGATATTACCTTTGATGATGGTATTGACATTAGTGACATTTTCTTTTTTAATAAATAAATAAAATTTAAATATTTATTTAGATTTTAATCAAAATATTAAAAAAATAAAATCTTTGGTACCTAATACTTTATCTGCTTTTTTTTTGAAATCACTTATCTTTGTAAACATTATATTTATATTTTATGTTATAAATATTTTTTTACACATTCTTTTATTAGCTAACTATTTTTCTTAATTTGTATATTTTTATTTCTTTTTTTGAATTATTAGAAAAATTCAAAATAATAATTAATATTTTTTAATTATTAAATAAATATATATAATATATCTTTTTAATAACTTTTGTAATATAACTTATATCTTAATCTTTATGTTTAATAGTAAAATCAATTTTTAAGGCTAATATACAAAAACATACTTTTGATTTTGAAAAGAAATAAAATCAATAAACTAATAATATATTATTTAATATTTATAAATTTCTTACCTAAAGATGATCACTGCAATTAAAAAAAATAGCGCAATTGAGTTGCAACTTGTGGCACAATTAAGTTACAATTCAATTAAAATTTGAAAATAATTATGAGAACCATTTTTAATGTTTGATTAAGAAATGCTTTTTTATAATAAATGAGCTTGAACATATACCACAAGGATGCAGTCAAAAATTTTATAATAAACAATTTAGCAGTGTATCACTTCGTCTGTAATAAATGTGTTTAATATGTATTATAGTTGCAAAATGGTAATAAAGTTTGATAATTAAAATAAAGATTCATAAATTTTATTTATTAAATGGCTTACAATAATTGTATTATAAAATAGCTATACATTTTATGTAAATAAAACGGATAATGCAATCTCTATCAAATAACTTTGACTTATATAAAATAACTGATTAGTTTCTCAACCAAAAAATGATCTCTTTATCTTACATGTCACAATTAATTTTTTAACAGCACTTTTCTTTTTTTAAACTTAATTAGCAATAAAAATTCCTTTGGTCAATCTATTAATAGTATCTTTTCTAGTAAAAAAACTTCTATTTTTTTACACGTTTCTTTGTTAAATCAAAAGAGTAACCATAGAGAATAATATTCTTTATATCAATAAATTAATATAAGTACACTTTCTGGCTAAAAGTTTAAGATCACTCAGAATCTGCAAAATAATCTGCGTTTAATATACATTTATGAATATTTTTTGTAATCAAAAAAGCTAGAATTTGTGTTACATGATAATCAATAAATAAATTATTAAGATTTATCTTTTTTTTTTCTTTCGTTCTATATTTTATGAAAATAGTTAAAAAAAAGAGTTATCAGATTTTGAATGTAGGAGAATCATCAGTTTTTATAAAGCTGATAGTTCAGAAAGAACCATATCATAATAAACAGGTTATGAATAGACCACTATCCATAATATTATAGCAAAATACCGTAAAATAGACATTAAAACTACTGCTTTTTGAAGTGAATATTTGAAAATATTGATCAGATATGATAAACATCATCTTAAAGTAGTTGTCATTAAAAACTGATGTGAACCAACAAAAAAAATACATGAAATTTTTAATGAAACCACTGAAAATAAAGTAAGCGAGAGGACTGTAAGGCGTACATTATATGAGCTAAGATATTATTACAGTTAGTTCTTTAAGATGCTTATGAGTGATAAGCGAAGCAATGTATATGGGTGGTAAGCAGAAGGTTTAATTTGATATTTAGATTTAGAAGAGTGTCAGTAAATTAACAGTTTATTTAATAACTATAACAATGAAGTACTGCCTCAGTCAGCGCTCTGTACTATACAATTATGTTAGAGGGATTAAACTAAACTATTATATAAAACTATGAGTCAGACATACTGCTAAGCTAAAAGAAATTGTCCTCTATTTATATAAAATGAAAAATATAAAGTTATCGAAGATATAAAAGAAATAAATATAATAAATAAAATATATAAAATAAATAAAATATATGAGATAAATAAGATAAAATAAATAAAAGAAATATATTGTATAAAAGAAATATATGCTATAGACAACATAGATGACATAAAAAACATATATGATTTCTTAGGGATCAACGTCATCCTTTAGATCATCATCATCTATGTCTTCTTTCATGTAACAATATCATAGTCATACAGCTCTTAGGAAACTATTAGTTAGTGAACCTAATCAAAAAATTTGGTTAAATTAGACTTGTGAAAAACGTCAATAGACGATAAATAAATGGAAAAAGTTTATCTGGAGTGATGAATCTAGATTTACTTTATTTCAAAATAATAGAAAAATTCATATTAGCATCTTCCAAAAGAAAAATATAATGTTAGCTGTCTTTTTTTAATTGTAAAATATGGTAGTGATGGAATCATGATGTAGAGGTGTTTTTTCTGATATAGTTTAAAACTTTTGGTGAAAATTGATAGTTGAATAAATAGTGAAAGATATATAGAGAAGATTATTAGCTATTATTTGGTATCATTTTTGGAGGAATTTGAAAAAGAAAATGATGAATATTTTTTTCAACAAGACAACGCATCAATTCATACCAGTATAATGATCTAAACCTTTATAGAAGAAGTAGGAATAACTTCATTACCATAGCCAGGACAGAGTCTGGATCTTAACCTTATTGAACATCTATAGAATGAGCTTGAATGTCATATTTGGGCAATAAAAAATCATTCAAGAAATCTAAGGGAATTAGAAGCATTTATTCAAGAATGCTGGTTACAAATTCAATGTGAAGTTTATCAAAAACTTGTTAATAGTATGAAGTCTTGAAGCAAAGAAGTAATAAAAGTCTGTGATTATCCTACTAAGTATTGAAGATTATTTTTATTAACTTTTTAGTAGTAAAAATAATGAATTATTTTGTTAAATTTTTTTTTTTAATAAAAAAATAATGGTTTTTTTGTTAAAATCTTTAATAATTTTATAGTTCTTTGATTTTATAAGATTTTGTGCTGATTTTTTTTGTTATGTTATATCTAGTAAAGGCTTTTAATAAATAAAGTTTTTTGTGATATAATCATAAAAAAATTTTTTTTTGATGAAATTAATTAATTTCAGCTTATTTATTAAAAAAATGATCAAAAAAAACGTCATATATTAAATGTTCAATAATTTATTAAATATACTTAATTAATATTGAAAATATACTATTTATTTATTAAAGTTATTATATATATATTTTTTTAGTCTAATAAAAAATCAGTTAATAAAAAAATTGTAATTCTTTTTAATTTATTAAGTGGTCCTAAACTTTTGGTCAAGGAGTGTACAAGCTAGCAAAAGCAAAAAATTAGAAACTATTGACTTATCTTAGCTTATAGCATGATATACATCATTTTCAAAACTTCTATAAGTTTTTCATAAATAGTCAAAATATCAGGGATATCAGATTTCGCAAGCTCAGCTGAGAAGTAAAAACTAGCATCACATACATTATGAGAATCAATCAGATAAGAAATCTTGATAATAGAAATCCAGCATAAATATCTTTGGAATGATGTTAAGAATCTCCTTTGAAATTGTTCTACCACTTATCATAATAATGATATCAGTAAGAATCTTATGCATATCTTTAAATATTTTTTAAACTTTAAGAATGTTATCTAGAATCTTCAATTTTGAACTAACACGTTTATATAAAGAAACTTGCGACTTCATGTTATATCCTTTGCAAAATCATGACGTTGTGAATAAACTTTTTATTAACAATTTCTTAATAACAATAAAAAACCTCAAAACTTTCAGTATATACTGTAAACAACCAATCAAGATGATAACCTTCTGTTTATATCTGCATTATGACAATCTTTGTTACTTTCTACTGAGATTTTAAGATTATTTATAATAGTGTGATTTCACGTTAATCATAGTAAATGAATATTTTACCAGGTAGATAAACAGAACTCACATTCTCTAGTCAATGCTACATATAATCTTCAGTGTATTCTCTAATATCAGACTTAAAAATTTCATCTTTTCCAGATACCTTAAAAAATTCTTATATATATTTTTTCTATTCCTCCAAGAATCTTATCTGTAAAACATGAGGTAGGTCTTAAATCTATGATATCACTATGACATAGACTAATAAAAACTAATAATAATGAGTAAGATCATTATTTTGAGTCCATATCAACTACAGAAGCTAATTCTACTCATTCAAAGATGTTTTTGCATTAATCTCAGTAATCTATAAAAATTTTCTTCAAATCAATGTTGTCTACTGTCAATAGAGTTCTTTTTACTTTCCCAACTATTGATTCTGATGTCTCTTTCAAATTATTTCCTGAATCTGAAACAATTCGAAAATATGTGTCAGCATTGTGACATAAATCATTCACTTACAATATATACTATACCATTAGATATAACGTGATTTTTATTATCTTGAGATTGATATCTAGCCTAAAAATAGTCATGTGCACCGCTAATATTGTATTAGATGAACTTTATATAAACGAAATTATAGTTAGATATAGCCTTCAGAAAAAAACTTACAAGGTTTTTAAAGAAATACCTTTGGCTTTTTGAATTGCCAATTTTATCAATAATAGTTGTTTTGATATTTATCTGAGATCAAAATAACAAGTAAATTATTGCAACATTTATATAATACAGTCCCAGTTTTGATTCACCTTAGTTATTAGTTCACTGAGTGACAAATGAACTTTTGACTTCGCAATCTCTTTGCTCTGATTCCAGATAATGTTATTAATTCCTGATGAGTTCTTATTTTGTAATTAAAGAAAGTAAAAGAGGTAGAACTTTAGGAAATCTACAGCAACATTTTTTGTGCATTCCTATAAGCAGGATATACACACAAAAGAATCACAGTAAGTGAAGGCATCGCGCTTCTCCTTCCCATCAGGTTAGGCAACACTCAACCATTCTTAGGCAGCACTGAGAGGCGTAGTTACAAGCAGATAAGCAATCTTTAATGCCTTTACTTCATAATAAACTGACCTTTAGTTATTTCTGCGCTTTTCTACCATCTTTTGATTAACTACTTTAGAGAGAATATTTAATTTAACAGCTAAAGAAGTATAGGATCAATCTTGCTTTTGATAGAAAATTGGATTTTATTAGATCAAAAACAAGTTGAACGACTCGATAGACCAATCCTAAAAGCTGGTATTTAATCAGTTCTCTGCAAAATAAAATATAAATCAGTTTAGGACATTATGTGCGCTATAGTTAACGTAAAAAGTGAAAGCTTACTTTCATAATAAAGATTTGTGTAGTCTTAGACTCTGACATATTAAGAATAATCACGTTGAGAAAGAAATTTGCAGAAATGAAAAATGAAAATCACCAACAAAATTTTGCGCTCATGTTAATTTTAGCCAGTATTATAACATTAAGTGTAGCGTCACAAAATTAATTGCTGATTCAGTTATAATCAGCATTGACTCAAATATATAGCATACTTATAGATTTTTTAAGGCATTTATAATTACCTTTATATAAATTTAAACATAAAATATTAAAGTCAATTTAGTTTCAGCAGGAAATCTTATCAGTTATAGAAAACATACATTATAATTCTTTTTTTCGTCTTATCATTTTCTAGTATACAAATGTTTTAAGAGATCAAAAGTAAACTATCTAATAAGATTCTTAACAAGATATACTTTGTTAGCTAAAAACTTCATAAAAAGAAGTTCACGTAATTGAATGATCGATTTCAATTGAATTTATACAGTTTAAAGTATTTTTTGGAAAATAAGGTTTTATATAATTAAAAAATTTTTTTTACAAATAGCTTCATTAAAGTGTTAAAACGTTATTTTCAAAATTAATCTTTAATAATCTCTAATTTAAAAAGTGTTTACTTAGTAATAAAGTTATGGTTAGAATAAAGAAACTCGAAAGACCATACATTATAAAAATTTGCAAAAAAACATCAGTAATATGGTGAACTGTTACTGAAATAGTGATATTTCGTAAAAAGGCCAGTGAAATACTTCCTGAATATGTTAAAGAAAATGATATTATATGCTTGAATTGTTATAATACAATTGTTATTAACAAATCTTTTGAATTTAAATAACATGTATTAGAACGACATCATAATGAACTAGAAACTTCTAACAATAATATTTTGTCTTTTTCGCAGGCTGTAGAGATAATTACAAAAATTCTCTATGAAAGGGAATGTAAATTATTACCATTAATTTGGGAATTCAAAGAATTTCGTGCACTTATAGAATTAGGAGACAGGCGATTGAAACATTTTTTTGATGAACTATATATATTAACTAACCCGTTAACAAAGAATAAGAATATGATAAAAAAGTATCAAAGCAATTAGTACTTTTATGTTATTATCTTTGTAGCATCAGAAATAAATTCATTAACAATGCAAAGAAAGATTTTAGGATGTATTTAGATTCAACTGGAATACCTAATTCAACAATTAATATTCTGGTGATGCTAGGTTTATCGATAACATCTCGTATTATTTCTTATAATAAGGATACTGTGTCTAAAAAACATCTAATGACTGTGAAATTAAGGTTTTCAGAAAATGCGAATTGATGATTATCAAAGTATTCATAATAAAAGAATACCTAATATAGTTACAACATCAACTGCAGCATATTTCACTACTATTTTACTTAATCTAATAGAAAATGAGCTGGAAATACTAAAGCAAGATATTTATAATCCTACATTAGTTGATGCTTCATTAATCAAAACCAGTATTGATAACTATTTGATGTCATTATATTCATTTTCTCATAACTAGCATTGAGGATTCCGTTCTGTGAATAACAAAATAAAACTTGAAGAACTAATGGTCTATAGTTATGATACTCATTTAAAAGAAAAGAGAAATGCCTAATTAATAAAAGATATGATGCTTGCAAACCTTTTAGAAAAAGATCTTCATTCAGTATAATCTTATATTAATGCTACTAATGCAGTCACTTCTATCCTTATAATTGATAGATATATTAAAGCAGACAATGTTATCTCGATTGTAGCTGATTGGCCTAGTCAAATTTACATGAGAATAGTTATATCCCAATATCTTATTCATGACAGTTCTTCTGAGATTACAGATGAGATTTATCTTATTTTCTGATAATGGGTTCTTTGCACGTTTCTTTAAATAGCTGTGAGTCAATATTTCTCAAATACAACCATTCTTTTTTGCAATGTACAAATATATATTTGGTGAATAAAAATTATTTGCTCAGAAGCTGAAGTCATAGTGTATAAACTTATTATTAGAAATTTTACATAGTGCATGGCAAGAAATTGCACCAATAGTTGAAGTAAAATTTGGTTGTATATGTAAAGATGCAGAATATATTACACTTAAAGATCTATTAGATAATATAATTCTGCTAGTTCTTAATATTTATGCTTTATTTTTTCGTACTAGCGATTTTAACTCTTACATTGAATCATGTTTTCAGATTTGAACTATTTTTCTTAAATTTAATCATAAAACTATACTAAAGTACCTTTAATATTTTTATCAGATATTTTTTACTGGCAATCAAAAGATCACTCAATTTTAAAAATAATGAAAGCAGAATTACCAAAATTCTCTGATTCTTCTATTAAAATCTTTCACAATTTTTTGCGATGTAATATAGAAAAATATCTTATGGTAAGTCAAATAATAAAGAAAATATGATACATTAATTATTTGTGATTGAATGATGATAGATTCAAAGAAAATTTTATTTACACCTTAACTTAAGCAGTATACTAGTATTTTTTACGGGATATTGCAACATTAACACGAAAAACTGCATACTTTCTTTAGATTATTTTTTAAATATTTATACTCGTATTAATCATGAAAAAATGTAATTTTTAATTCTGTTATAGGTTACTATGAAAGGCTTATCAAAAAAGAGAAAAACTAATGCCAAAATCAATTTTTCTATTCTAACAATAAAGATGAAGAATGCACAGTTTTGTCATTTATCTTTAGAATATAATTCTTCTAATAAGCCTAACTTGTTTGGATTCTTCTAATTGTCTTATTACTAATATTATATTTAATGAAGAAACAGGTTGGATACTATCATGTGATCACATATATATAATATATGCTTTAGCCTGAACGAATTCAAGTGCTTGCATTGCTTAGATTATATAAAGTCCAGTATTGATGAATATGTACAATCACTTTTAGATCGTTTACAATAATCTAATTCAATTAATGAAATTGAGAATGAAGAATCTGACTTTATTTCTGAAGAAGATCACAATAATAAAGAATCTGTTGATGGTATCTCAGCTTCCTATGACATTGCAATACTATGGTTTATTTAACAATGATTAAAATTATTATGTAAATATATAGTAATCATAAGTTATTTAAATATATATATTAAATATAATATATATGAATCTAAAATACAATTTTAATAAATTTTTGAAATAATATGCTAAATACTATAGTTGTAATCAAATATAATTTTCGTGTTACCAATTTTATAAACCAAAAAAAATGTTTTTCATTTAACTTTTCGGATTTTTAGGTAAAGAAAATTGCAAAACACTGCACATCGATAAATTAGTTTTTGAATGAAAGACATCACATCTTTTTTTTTAGTACTTTAAATCAATTGAAATCGAACGATACAGATTTATTATTTAACAGTTCACCTTCGAAGTAATATAACTTTTGCTATATCTTTTTCTTAACTTTTTTATAGAATTATGATAATAATATTATGATTTTACAAAATAAAATAACTATAATTATAAAATTATTTTATTTTATAAAAGTTTTAATTATCAAATAAATGAATCATTCATTACTTTTACTAATTTATCATCTATTAAATATTAATATTAAAATATTAAGAAATGAATAATTATTTAAAAAATATTTCGAATCATATAGACCTTTAAAATTAAGTATATAAATCTTGGATCAAAACAACGTACTTTGTCAAAAAGATCTTATGGTGCTAAAGCGTTTTCTATTAAGTGCAAAAAATAATATTAAAAGTAAAGAAAAAAAAATTTTTTATGAATCCACACTGGATTTGATATCTACCCACCTCTTCCTTCTTTCTTCAAAGTTGTTTTCTAGTTTCTTCCAAGCGCTTAACAATGAACAGACTAGTATCCAAAAATCTTTCAACACAATTAGTTAAGCACACTTCTTCACTACGATCAATCTTATTACTGATTTTATTGATACATTTATCCCAGCATAAATCTGTAAATGTATGAATTGATGATTGTATTCTCATACGTGCATTTTCACTTTCCAAAAACTTTCCTAATTCTTTTTGTGTTGCTTCGTCAAATTCTAAATTTGAATTTGGTTTTTGAGATAGACTTGACATTATTTTTACTTAAGTAACGCAAAAAGTAGTAAGATAAATGTAATTACAGGAATTGAGAAAAAAAAGATTTTTTATTTTAATTTTTTTTTTTTTAAGATCAGATTATGACGACCTGCAAAAAATGGTGCGACCCTAATTCAAATAATAGGTGACAAATAGGATTTAATATCGCAGGCGACACAGGTAAGTTAATTGTAAAAAAATTTATGTATGATCTGTAACCTTCTATATTACATAATTGCAAATTCGAATCAAAAACATTTATTAATTCTAAATGAACTATGATTAAGCCAACAACAACCACCCTCAAAAACATCAATTAAATATAATATTCAAAAAAAAGAGGGGGGAAACATGCCGAAATACAAGATATGAAGAAGCTAATCTTCTTTCATGATAATTATCAAATATTACTGTAGCCAAATTATTAATTAAAAAAATCAAAAAAAAAAAAAAAATATAACTAGAAATAATCGTTACCAAAGTTATAGCAAATTATAAATTATAAACGAGATATTTACCAAATACACGTTACGTTGCAGCTTCCTTCATAAAGATTATATGGTGATAACGAGGCTGAAGTAATCGTGCTTAAATTGACGGTTAAAATATTCAATTGCAAGATAAATATCATACCTTTCTACAACGTTAATACCATTACTGATTTTCAATTAGTAAATTTTCTTTAATGCTAAAATCGATTGAACTCTGCAGCAGTATAGATTATTCCAAATTTCTAAGCTCTAGAACCCATCTTTCGACATATCCTATATATATTAACTAAATTCTTATCTATCAATTTGAACAATGAGTTATTTATAAAATATATATTTACTTAATATAAAATGTATAATATATCAGTTCTATCACATTAGGTTCGTTAGACGGGAAGCAGCATTATTAGTTTAGCAACAAGTAAATAATAAAATAAAATAAAACAACACGCTAATTAATCAAATAACAAAATGTATGACACATTCATAACGGGTTACCTTATATGGTCACTTTCTGTTCCTGGATTTGAAACGCATTAAAGCTTTTTCCAATACCCGTTTTCCTTCACAATTAGGAAAATTTTTAAGATCATAATAAGAAGGAGCTATGTCCAAAAGCCTAAAGGAATTATAAAGGAATTATTACTATTATCTATTATCTATTATTTCTCAAAATAATTATCAAAAATAATTCATAAATTATTCTTACCATTCAGCTTTAACTTCAGTTACAGTACGAATATAATTCTTGGTTGTAAGAACAAATTCATTATATAAAACCCATTCAGGTTGATGTTTAAGAGATGAAGACGGATGAAGTTGAACAATCTATAATTCAATCAAAATTATAAATACAAAATATTAAAAATAAAATATAAAATAAAAGAATTTGTAGTTGCATTGTACCTGATTGTCTTTACATGTCAAATAATGACCCGATTTCTCCAAATGAGCTACTTGCATAAAGAATCCTGCTGTCAAAGCTTTCCGTATGTTAAGATAGTAATTACTGTCCGTGAACGGAGTACTGACCAGTTCTTCATCACATCGTTCCATTATACGTTTAAGTTGCTGGCGAACGTTGTCGGCCGACTTCAATGATCTACTACTTAAAAAATTGTCATAACACCAATCCGGGTCTCCTAATTCTAATGATAATAAGTATTATGATGCGGAACAACTCTAAATTAATCATTCAAAATAACTTCAACAATGAAACTCACCGGCTTTATAAGCATGATAAACATTCAATAACGTTAAATGATCACCCTCGTCGTGTGCAAATTTAGCTTTTGCCTCTTCGGCTTGCTTTTTCATATCATTAGGTCGCAAGAATACATTTGGAACTTAGATTTTTTTTATACCAAAAAAATTATTAATTGTCTTAAAGAAATTGTATGAAGTTGATAACAATAATCAATCAATCTTACCTGATAATAAAGCAGCTATAGATAAAATTTCATTAGAGCACCTAAATTTTGGGCTCTCTATCAACATTTTTGATAATTGCGGATCAAGTGGAAACTCGGCCATTAAATGACCATCGGAAGTTAAGTCACCTTCATCACTAAGAGCCCCGAGATAATTCAGAAGTTCAAGTGCTCGCATCAATGTTTCTGGGGCTAATTTATAATAAATATATTAAAAATAATTTTTTTTTTGTAATAAAAAAGTGTGATCAACATTTATAATTAATTACCTGGAGGGTCCATGAAATCAAAATGTACGAGATCATCTATACCAAGTTTTTTTAATTGGAGAACAACGCTACCTAGATTGCTCCTTAAAATTTCAGGATGAGTTTGTTCTTGTAATTCTTTAAGAAATGCCCTTTCGGTATATAGACGAAAACATTTCCCAGCCCGAGTACGACCTGCACGACCAGCTCTTTGTTGAGCAGAAGCTTTGCTAATTGGACTAACTAGTAGGGATTCAACGCGAATACGAGGGTTGTATACCTTTTGCTTACTGAAACCGGGATCAACAACATAGACTATACCATCGATAGTCAAGGATGTTTCGGCAATGTTTGTAGAAACAATAACTTTACGACCGGGTTTTCCACCTTTAGTGCGTGCTGGTGGTGCATCTTCAAAAATACGTTGCTGGTGCTGAGGAGGCAAGGAAGAATACAATGGAAGAACCTTTAAAGGTCCTAATTCTGTTTGTTTCATTAATTCATCTGCCTCTGATTTAATTTTTTGACAAGCGCTTTCAATTTCTTCTTCACCCGTTAAAAACAACAAAATATCTCCTGGATCTTCACACGCATGGATCTGCATTACTGTGCGGATAGCGGCTTCGAGATAATCACGTTCAGGTTCTGGGGTATAAAAAATTTCGACGGGAAAAGTTCGTCCAGGAACGGTCTGCATGAATGCGCGAGAAAATAATAATAGGTTTAGGCAATGTGATATAAACCTTCACTTTTCAAAAAAAATCCTACATACTAGAACTGGTGCATCATTGAAATATCTTTGAAATTTTTCGGCGTCAAGAGTAGCACTCATCACAATTACTTTTAAATCCGAACGGACTTTAATAATCTAAAGTAACGATAAAAAAAAATTTTTTTAAGTTATGGTTTCTTGAATTAAAAAGCTTCAATGATTAATTATTTATAAAATTGACCTGTTTCATTAAACCCATAAGGATATCCGTTGCCAAGGTACGCTCATGGGCTTCATCGAGAATAATTGCTGAATACTTTTCCAACTTAGGATCATTCATAGCTTCGCGAAGAAGCATACCATCAGTTAAATACTTCAAAATAGTCTTGGGACCGGAACAATCTTCAAAACGTATGTTGTATCCTACTTCCTCGCCAAGTTTCACATCCATTTCATCAGAAACACGCTGAGCAACTGACATGGCAGCAACCCGACGAGGCTGTGTGCAGGCAATTTGTTTCTTCTTCAAATGAGGAAGGATATCATAACAAAGAAACTGTGGAATTCTAAATTTAGAAATAATTGTTTATTATAGATAATTTTTCGATTTTTTAAAAAAAGTAAATCCAAAAAAGAGATCTTACTGTGTTGTCTTTCCAGATCCGGTTTCACCAACGAAAACTACGAACTGGTTCTTATGAACCATATCTAGAAACTCTTGTCTTTGCGCATGTACCGGCAACTTGCGACGATTCTCCAAAATGTCGTGATATCTTTGACTAAATTTTTTGTTGTTAAATGGATTATAAAAACCTTCTTCTGCTTTTCGAGCTTGGGTAGCAGTAGTTTTCCCTGGAATAAAACCGTCAAGCGTACTTATTGCTTGATTTGGACGAACAGGCTTGTTTAAATGTGCCAAGTAAGGATTACTTTCAATAGATTTATCTTTAGATGTTTCTTCAATTCTTGGCCGTTTATTTAAATGTTCATCCTGTGTACTTTTTGTTTGATCAGATTCGATGTTTCTTAGATTGGAGGCTTCAACACTTTCTACGTTACGCTTTTTGATCTTGCTCTTGGTTTCCATAGTTAATGCGATTTGTGCAAATTTTTTTTTTTCCTCAACTTTGACATAATATTTATATATAGAAATTAAAATCAAAGATCGTCACGTTGCATATCACAATGTGATAATGTCGATATTATTGTCGTATAAATTATAAATTTATAAATTAATAAATATATGATGGTTTGTCGGTTCGAACTATCACGATCAAAATAAGATTTAACTTTTTCACGCGATCTTTTCGAAAAAAATACAATGGTTGCCGTGTTACAACCTGAAACTTTGTCAAATGTAACAGAATCGGTGAATTTCTTAGATACAGGAAGTGGGATTATAAACAAAGACGAAGAATCTAAACCACTTGTTGGCATTATATATCCACCACCGGACATAAGAAGTATCCTATTTTACTATGCATTTTTACTTTTATAATAGGTTTATTGCTTTTGCATTTTTTTTAAGTTTGACAAGAACTTTAAACCAATTCAGCATCGAAATAGACAATCCTAACAAGGTGCTGTTTTCCGAAACGATCACACTAGCAAAACAAGCATTCATTATGATAGATAATTGTATTTTGCTTGTCCTTAACTTTTATCAATTTTTTAGATATTGTTGATAAAACTGCCATTTTTGTCGCAAGAAACGGTGTTCAATTCGAAGAGCGTATTCGGGAAAATGAAAAACATAATGCAAAGTTCAGCTTTTTAAACCCTAACGATCCTTATCATGCTTACTATCAATACAAAATTGCTGAAACAAAGGAAGGAAAAGGTATTGGTTTTACTGCTCGGTGTTCTTATGAAATAAGCCAATTAATTATACCCTTTATGATTGTAGTCCCTAAAAAAGTTGAAGCAAAAGAAGTTGTTCAAGAAGCTAAAGATGTTCTTCCTCCACCAAAGATCCCACCAAAAGAACCACCTTCTTTTGAATTCATGACCGACATGCCTGCTATTTCCGCGCAAGATCTGTATGTTGACAATCTTTCTGTTTATAATATATATATATATATATTTTTATGTTAAATTACACCTTCCTTTTCAGGGACATTTTGAAATTGACAGCACAATTCGTAGCACGTAACGGAAGACAATTTATGACTGCTCTTTCGCAACGTGAACAGCGAAATTATCAATTTGATTTTTTACGGCCAAATCATAGTTTATTTAATTACTTCACAAAACTAGTAGAGCAGTATACAAAAGTATTAATTCCACCAAAAAATTTAAATGAAAAATTGAGATATAACGTAGATAACAAATATCAAATTCTTGATCGTGTAATGCAACGAGTCGAGTATGCTGCTTATCAAGAGGAAGAAAGGAAAAAGGCCGAGGAGAAGGAAGATCAAGAGAGAAGTAAGAGACTACTTTACTTACAAAATTTTAGAAGAAAAAGGTAGATAATTAATTATCTTATCTTTCTTATAGTCGCATACGCCTCTATAGATTGGCATGACTTTGTTATAGTGGAAACTGTAGAGTTTACGGAAGCCGATGAGACGATCGATCTTCCACCTCCAATGAGCATTATGGAACTTGAAAACATGACTCTTGCTCAGAAGAAGATGGCCTTGGTTAATTTAGCAGAATCTCAGCCAGATGAGAAAGCCGGTGAAATTGATATGGAGGTTTGTACTGAATAGTTTATATGCGCCCTTTTGAGTTTTTCTTTTTTCTGATAAACGGTTTTATAGATGGACGATGATGTAGATATGGAAGATGATGATGCAGAAAAAGAAGACCAAGATCAAGATACCACACCAGTAATGATGGAGATTAAACCACCAGATGCTTCTGCGCCAATGAAAATCGTTAAAGATTATACTCCTAAAGGTATATTTCATTTCATTTCCTCAATTTTTAGTTGGTTTCATTATGTTTGCTTGACTTAATTTATTATTGTATTTTAGCATATGCTCTTAAAACGTCTGTTGACAGACCAACAGTTATTTGCCCTAGATGTAAACAGGTTATACCTGTCGACGAAATGGATGACCATGTTCGTATTGAACTATTAGATCCAAAATGGAGAGAACAAAAATTAGCAGCGGAATTAAAAAAGAAAGAATCAAATTTATTACAAGAAGGTTTTTATGTGTTTTTTATATATATATATATATATATATATATTATATATAATATTTTCAATAATTATTGAATTAATTACAAATATTATTATTTAGGTACGGATGTTGCAAAAAATCTCAAGGCATTTTCCGGCTATCGATCCGATATTTTTGGTAATGAAGAAACTGAAATTGGACGGAAGGTAATTCAATATTCTTTTTTATTTTTTATTTTTTTATGAGCATTAATACCAATTAGCTATAATAGATTGGTGAGGAGGAGGAAAAGAAAAAAAGGATCGAAAAGGAAAAGGTTGTATGGGATGGTCATACAGCTTCAATCAATATGGCTACTCAGCGTGCAGCTGCCGGCGTTTCTATTGATGAACAGATCGCCGCAATTCATAGGAGTAAGGGCTTGACAAGGTAATCATAAAATTTTATGTACAAAATTTTAATACTTTTTAATACATTCAGTCTTTCATTTACCTAGCGATAGCGATTCCAAAATCGGTCCAAAAATTCCCCAAGTGCAAGATCACTCGCATCAACATCACCAATTGCACCATCAACATCAACATCCACATCAACAAGGAATGCAGCATCCTTCGCAACAACCTGTTTATCCTGGATATCCTACCCATTCTCAAGGTGCTCCGGGAATGCCGTCGGGCCTTCCACCTGCACCATATCCTGGCTACGTATCTTCTTCTGCACCGTTTGCCCATCAACTTCCTGGATATATTTCAACGCAAGGTACAAGTTCTACTTCACAACAATCATCTCAAGCTCGTCCACCTATTCCACAACAAATTCATAGACCTAACCAGCCTTCAGGTATGTCAGGATCTTCTGCGCCAGTTCCACCTTTACCGCTAGCGATGGGACCATCTCCGCCGGCACCTCCAACGCCTCCTATACCTCCAGTTCCTTCATCTAAAATTGGTCGAACTATCGAAGATGAAACCGAATTATCCTATATGACTAAACGACAGAAAATGGAAAATCTTATTTCGATTGGAAGTCTTTTATCCGTAGAAGAATGGATAGAGTCACATCCTGTAATATATATTTAATTTATTTATAACCTTACATAGCATTTAAAAAACTAACGTGTAATATAATTAATATTAGGGTCCTATTAATGTACAAATTCATTGTCCAACGATTCCTGAAAAACCTGAATGGAATTGTCAAGGTCAAACCATCATTTTAGACAATTTACCACTAAACACATTCGTATCTACAGTAAAGGACAAGATCGCTGCACGATTAAATTTCCCTGCAGGCAGACAAAAACTTATGATTGGAGGCGCAGTAATGAAAAATCAGCTTTCGTTAGCTTATTATAATATGGAAGATGGAGTTATTATTGGATTAGCTATTAAAGATCGTGGAAAGAAATGAAAATTTTTTTGTTATAACGTGGCAAGTTTGTGTCATTCAATTCCCTGAAATATATAAATATTTTTTTATTAAAAAAAAAAAAAAAAAAAAAAAAGGAAATCCCAATATTTAGGGAACTATATAAAATATATATATATATGGTGTTGACATCGCTTCTTTTCACTGGTTACCGGTTAATTGGTGGCGTCGAATTATTTTTGGTTGATCGCTTAATTTCAAATATTTTTATTTATATGCGTTCATATTAAGAAAGTTAGGGTCCAATGAACTAGGAATTAATAAAATGGTGTTTAAATTACACGTGTAATAAATTATTGATAATAATTATTTTAAAATATTTTTAAATATAAATCATTTGTTTTGAACAATATAATAATTTGAATTCATAGAAATGTTGGCCAATTTTGCAATCAACTCTTTAACATCAATATCATCTCTTGTCCTGTCGTACTGGATGTAAAAAATCAGAAATGAAAAAAATAAAGAATCAATTGGTAAAGGTGAATCATCATAAATATAAAAGTTACTTACCAATTCGGAAATCCATAATTCAAAAGCCAACGCATTTTGTTTTTGAATAACCATTGATTCAAGCCTTTCATTATTATCTTGATTTATTATCATTAAATCAACTTGACGAATACAATAGCGTGAGAACTCCAAATCTTTTTCTAAATCTGGCCATTCTTTTACAATAGGATTATAATTTTGTTGATCTATTTCCTTATCATCATCCACACATTTAAATTCTATCGAATTATTCAACCCTAAATAACCTGATAATATCAACCACTTCCAACCAAATGATAAAAATCTTAAATGATACCACGGTGATTCATGACCGGGGTATCTTAAAATAAGATCTTTTGTAAATTGGATTTCTCTATACCAAAGAAGTACAATTAAGTTTGAATTATTATCATTCTTTAAATCCTGATTTTGGAATTGAAAATTAAATTTCTCCAATATATCTTTCCTTGATATACCATCAAGATCATTAAAAGAATTATCATAATATTTGCTTAACCTAATTAAACACCTTTGTAAATGTTGAAATCCGGAATAATCAGATATATTTTTTTGTACCCAACTTTTCATAATTGTTAATTCTTCATCAAAAAATAATTTTGATTGTAACGAATTATTTGATATATTTAGTAAAATCCAGTGCCTATACGTCCAAGCGTAATAATTTTTTGGATATAATTCTGCCACGCGACGAGTTATAACGATCTCATGTTGCCATGATGAGAGATGATCATCAGAAGAATAATGTTGATGAATCTTTAAAACTATCCATTTTCTAAAAAAAATTATATATTTATTTATTTATTTACATAAAATTTGGGTTAATTAAAAAAAAAGGGGTAAATTACTTAAAATACCTGTGAAACCAAATCGTTGAATGTTTAGTATGTTTTGGTAAAGTGAATAATAAATCTATAAATTTCAATTCATTTATTGGGTCAAGGTGATTACCTATAATGAATTTCTTTCTTTTTTTATAATTATTATTATTAATATAATGATATGATTAGATAATAATAATCGTTTACGATTTGTTCAAGTCTTTTTTATATTTATATATTTATTTATTTATTTACGAGTGAAAAGTGAAAAAGAAACTAGTCCCTTGAAAGGTACCTCGTATTAAGAGCAGAATAACAATCAGCATTTATAAGTAACATACATCTGGTTGATTCTTTTAATGATTTAACGGTATCTTTGGTCTCAGCAATACCACCGCGAGCATTCATAAATATGCCATGAGCATATTTATATATTTTATCGACATATTCTAAAGGTATTCCAAGATTCGATTCAATGAAAAGAAACGGATAATATTCATCATTCGGTTGTGTACTTTGATATGGTAATAACCCTATTTCATGTCTATAAGAGAAAGTATTTTTTCAATAAAAGAATATGAAAAAATAAATTAAAAATTAAAAACAACTCCTTTACATTACATCTCATGCTTATCGAGAATTTTGTTTAATGTTTGATATAATTTTTCTACATTCATTTTTATTAATTCAGAGGATTTTACATTTAATTCTCTCTTATCTCTTGATAATCAATCACGTGTATCATCAGTTCTAATTTTGTCCCAAGATGAAATATTAGGAAAGACTGCCGAGAGTCAGAATATCCAAATCCGATCTAATCACCCGACAAAATTAAGAATTGAACTTTGCTTTCGAGAACATCATTTGAAATTTGCAAAAAAAAAAAAAAAAAAAAAAAAAAAAAAACTTTTTTTGCTCAAACTATGACTACATAACTTTTAGTCTATATTCATCAATTTATTATTAATTTAATTCTTAAATTTTCATAATTAGATGATGCTACTCTTTTCTGCGCTCCCTAATTCTCTTTGTCGTCTCTTTTCGAGCGTATTCAATGCGTGCTTGTAACTCACCACGCTCTGCCAGAATTCTGATCATATTATATATAAATGGAATGAAGTTATGTTTCCGTAATGAATTTTCGCGCTGACAAATTCAAGAAAAGGTAAGTAATCAGAAACCACGGATGAAAAATAAATATTAGTAAAAATTATTTACCTCGTATCTTTTAAATTTAATTCTTTCAAATTCAATTTGGCGTAATAAATCTTCCCTTTCATCACGTAATTGCATAAGTTCCAGAGAATTGTTAGTATCATTTGCATGGTGGAGTCTTCCTTCAATTTCCTGAATTCGAGTTCGATACACTTCGTCGCGATTTTTAATGAGTGCTAACAAATTAAATCGAATTTCCGAGGATGTATAACGCGCCATCCTTTCCTCTATAACAGGGCGAACCTTTTCAAGCCAATTATCTTCTGTACATGGACCTATTTTAATATTAAAGGAATACCATTAAAATACGTTATTATAAACTTTTATATTCCAAAAAAAAAATCTCACATTTACCCAAATTCACTGGCCCAGCACTTAACCCATCTAACTCGTATAAAGCTCCTTGAATTGGAACATACGAGATAAAATGAAAAATATCTTCCTTCTCAGAAGAGGATGAACCGGATGAATCCATCATGAACGGATCAGAACGAGCAAAACTATTATGAACACCGCGAATAAGCTCACTATTGGACATCGCTAACCCTTTGTTCTAAAAAGATATTTAAGCAAAAATAATAAATAACCAAACTATCTATTTGTAAAAGGGGTTTTTTTTTTGATATGGTATAAAAGCTAAGACAACTCACATCCGGATCAAATTCTTTAGTGAAATCTTTAAATGATTCTAAATCAGTTCCTAAATTAATCATAGGGCAATTCAATAAAATAGATAAAATTGCTTGAGTAGCACATGCATTATGAATAACCTGATAAAAAAGATTAATAAATAAAGTTGATAAATATATATAATAAATCAAGATGAATTCATGAAAATTATCAAGAAATATTACTTGTTTTGCGAAGTATACATTCTCATCGATACTAAGATCCGCGTCTGGATGTAACCTAGAGCTGTCATTACCGCCTTGCCACTTGAAAAGAAAAATCAAACCATAAATTGGCCTAGCCAATTATTTAAAACAGGTAAAAATCAATATCAAATCAATTTAAATGAATTTAAATAAATCGACATAATTAATATACTTTAGGTCTTCTAATGTATCTAAGCTCCAGACTTCCTCAACTTGAGTCCCGTGTACATTAAAAGCACGAATTAATTCTGTAAATACACCTAAGAATTGAAGGCGTAATTTTAAGTGTCAAGGTCAAGATGGATTTAGACAAAATGTAAGAAGGAAGATAAAAAATACCCTAATAATAATTATAATAATATAAGCAAAAACTATTAGTGATTATACGATAGAAAATTCTGTTTCGAATAGATAATAAACTACTAGATCCTTACTGGATCCGATTCTATCAAGCACCATTGACCTATCTCCGAATTCATTATAAACGTGAGAACGGGAAACAAATTATTTTTGAATTTTTTTGATTGCCTAATTGATATAAAACGTGGATTATTTCATAATCTGTATCACGCACATCATGCAAGTTAGATGTTTTAGCCGGGTGAATCGCCACTGAGGCACAGACGTTCATCGTGAAATTCCATTTTAAACCGAACAATATCTTTTTTAATTTTTTCAATTTTTTTTTATTTTTTTTTTTTTACCACCACTTCAAAAACTTTTTTCAGGCACGCGAAATTATTATTATTATTATTTGACATAATATGCCAGAAGTCCCGTTGTTTCAATTCAGGTCTATTAGCAAGTTCTGGAAAAAAAGTGTAAAAAATGACGAATTAGCAAAGAAAATCGATACATATTTTACTCCCAGTTACTTTTTTGCTAGACACGCGACATTAGAATTCTTTCTTGGTAAGTTATCTTATAGTTATACGATTTAATGCTTTGTCAATATCATTTTATCGCAAAAGTTTATGATGATATTTCTTTTTATGTATTTTTTTTTTTTCTTTTCATTTTGAAAATTATTCTTAAAGGTGAAGGTGTAGGTCCTAATGATGGTCATCGCTTCTTGTTATTATCTGAGGACTCTGTAAACTCCGTTCGTGCCGAATTAGAATCCTTTATTTCTTCAACGCTTTCAAATGTTCCAATTCTTCATGCTGGTTCTTACCAAAATGTAGAGGCGATTTTCATTGATTCGCCAAAAGCTTATATCAAAATCACCAAAGAAACTGATAAACATAATAAAAAGGTTCGTATGGAAGCAAGACTTTGCAAGATGAAATCAAAGTGGGAGCAGGCACGAAGCATGTACAGGGAAAAGAAATATTTGTTCGCAGCCGTAGATGTTGAAAGTTTTGAACGAGATCACTCTTGTATTTTGGAAGTTGGATGGAGCATGTTCAATTCAAGGACCGGTTTATATATGGACCGACATTTCTGTACGACCGAATACAAGCATCTGAAAAATGGTAAATTTGTTTCGGATATGAAAGATAGATTTTCATTCGGAAAAACCGTATGGGCAAATTCGAAAACTATTGCAGATGAAATTGTGAAAGATTTAACGGAAGAACAAGAAAAAGGGAACGTCGTCTTTGTTGGACATGGTGTTGAAATGGATCTCAAGTATTTGGAGAATATGGGTGTTAACGTTTCAGAAGATATTCAACCTGTAGAGATTTTTGATACAGCTGAAATGAATGCAGCAAGAGTTGGAAAGCCGCACGAACGAATTAATTTGGGAAAGTTGTTAGACGAGCTGAATATTGAGAATTATAGTTTACATAATGCGGGTTAGTGATTTAAAATAACTTTTTGTCAAATATTCACGTTTATATCATAACCAATGTCATATTTTTTTTTGCTTCTCTTTTATTTCATAGGAAATGACGCACATTACACATTGTTCTTATTTCTTGAATTATGCAAATTGCCTTTTCAACCACCTGAAGAAACCTCAGTTTCACAACCTGCCAGCAGCAGTACTGAATGAAAAGCAGACATTTAAAAATTATAATGATTATAATTCTTGTAATACTTGCTATTTAAATTGCAAATAAATAATGTTTTCAAGAATTGGATTATATTGATTCCATGTAATTAATAATCTATAATTGCAAATGATAAAATAAATTTGATAAATTAAAGGGTTTCTATCGTTTCATTCCAAGTTCAAACTTTCTATAAAAGCCTCTGAACATCTGGTTACTTGTTGAAAATTCTTTTCAAACCCACCAATTCCTCCATAATACGGATCTATGATTATAAAGAATATAAATATGAAATATTTAATTTTAAACCCTCGCAATAAATTTTTGAAAATACCTTGAATTAAACGTTCCCCTTGTGGGTCATATTCACCAAATAATTTAACTGAAAAAAAAGATTTGAGAAAAAATGCATCAATAAAAAAAATTGCGATAAATGTAAAAAATTCAAAAAATTCAAATAAATAATTACTGGTAGCTTTCGAATCTTTTGGTTTCGTTCTTTGTAAGCTAGTTAAATTTGAATTATCCATGCAAAGTATATAATCAAATTCCTTAAAATCTTGCTTTACAACCTTAAAAAAGGAATGTATAATTATTTATAGTTTTTTTTTTTTTTTTTTTTTTTTAAGAAAAAATCATTTTTTACTAACCTGCCTTGCATAATGATCTACGGGAACCCCATGTTGCTTACATGTTTGAATCGAACGATGATCAGGTGTTTCGCCTAAAAAAAATATAAAAAAAAAAATTTCAAACTTTTGAAGTGAAAGATAAAAAAAAAAAAAAAAAAACGAATTATTTATATAACTCACCAACATGATAATTTCCAGTACCCGCACTATCAATATTGAAACGAGACTCTAACCCTTTTTGTTTAACTGTATCCTTAAATACAGCTTCAGCCATGGGGCTATTCAAAACTTAAAAAATTAAAAAATTTATATTTAATAAACATAACCATAACTGACGTACCTTCTACAAATGTTACCTAAGAATGCAAAATATTTAAATTAATAAATACAATTGTGTATAATAGAAAATTATTTTAATAAAGCTTCTTCTTATTGATATCAATACCTAAACACACGAACAGTACATTAATTTTTTGTTCATACATTTGTTTTTTTTTATAAAAAAGAAAAAAAAAAAGGTGAGGACAACAATGTACAAACAAAAAAATTTAAAGTTACATGATCGATCGACACGAAATGCATGGACTCGCATGTTGAAACTCCGATTTAGTAATTAACATATGGGTTGATTTCTAGGAAAATCAGGTTCTGTAAATTTTAACCAAATTGAGATTTTTTATTACATTTTTAATTTAAAATTTTAGTTGGAATCTCCATATTCAAAATTTATAATAACCAAAGTGAAATTTTTTTTTAAAAATGTATTTATTATTTTAATGTACTAGATATATGTTCTTTTTTTTAAAAAAAAATTATGAATGCCACAAAGATTAGTATAATCTTCACATTATTTTTAAACATATACAAATAAACCTAATATATCTGGTAAGATTAATAAATATTCTAACTGTTGTATGAAAAAAAAAGTGAATTTAAAATATGCAAATATACAAAACTTACACGTATAAATCAAATTGTAAATATGGTAAATTTTGTAACTGTCCCATCAAAATATTTTATACAAACAATTAAAGAAAAATCCAAAATAAATTCAGTATAAATAGTTGTTCGTTAGTCGATTGAACAATATGATCATAATGCATTAGGTTACACATATATAAGCTTCAATATTATTGAAACGTAATACTTCAATGAATTTCATAATTACATGCAAAATAGCCATGAAGAAATCGATCAACGATATGAATCACACACACACATATATATGCATATATGTGTATATATTTAGAGTTTACAAGAAATAATCAGGTGTTCGACGAGTAACGTGAGGTTCGCCCCTTCTGGGTGCAGGATCAAATTGCAAGCTAAAAGAATAAAATAAAAAGAATTCATCAGCATTAAAATCATAAACATGCAAAATATTGTAATTTATATTTACAATGTATATTTCAAATGCTCGTCTATTTCCATAATGGCAGCTTGGTTACCACAACGATAGCAGTAATTTGGAGCACTGAAGATTGTAACAACATTTCTATCTTGCGACCAATTGTATCCCTGAAAATAACATAAATATAAAATAAATGCGTGTTCCAGATTTATATGTTATATAAATAAATAAACAATTAAAATAAGAATTTATATATTAAAAAAAATATACCTCCATAACCAATTGATGAGCTCTAGCAATCAAAGTTAGTCCGTTGTTGTGATTAAATGCTTCCGATATATCTTGTCCAAAGGTATATCCAGCACCTCTAGGCGAAATTCCCCAGCCACATCGATCATCTGGATCGGACCATAACAAATCGCACATAGGTCCTTCATGAGGTACCTCTTGAATTCTATCCAAAGATCTAATATGGTCCAGCGTATCAATCGATGGAGATAAACCGCCATGAAGACAAAAGATCTTAAATTTATTAAAATTTTTTATTTAATTATTTTATTTATTTAATCATTATAATATAAAGAAATAGTTAATAAAAATTGGTTTAACCAACCTGGTCATCAATTAATGCTGTCAATGGTAAATAGTCGAACAAATCGGTGAAAAATTTCCACACATTTGCATTGCCATATTTTCTAAGGCATTCATCATAAAACCCATATACCTGGGTTATTTGCCTGGACTCGTGATTCCCCCGAAGAATTGTAACTCGATCTCTATATCTAACTTTGAGTGCAACGAGTAAGGTTACAGTTTCAACGGAATAATATCCACGGTCAACATAATCTCCCATAAAGAGGTAATTCGTATCGGGTGAATTACCACCAATACGGAAAAGTTCCATAAGGTCATGAAATTGACCATGGATATCTCCACAAACTGTAACAGGACACCTTACGGGTTGAACATTTGATTCTTCCATGAGAATTTCCCGAGCCTAATTCAAAAAGAAAAGGGTTATAAAATATTTATATTTCGCATATTCAATGTTACTAATAGATATTTGAAAGGAATTAAATCTGTAACAAATTTTTCAACAAGTTTAAAAAAATACAATTAATCAACGAAAAAATAATATATTTTGATAAGATATATTTCAAATAAACAAAACAAGTTTATATTAATAAATCAAAAGGCTTCACAGGTACTAAAAGGTATTACTAAAAACAGATGCAAAAGATGATAATAAAGCAAATTGCGAGGCTACTTAATTTGCACATCAAACTACCTTATCGCACAATCTCTTTACATCAGCTTCTGGTAACTGTTTACATTGCATGAGATGTTGAATCCAGCCATCAACGTCTGCAAAATCTGATGTAGTTGCCATTAGGACGTAAAAAACTCGGAGCGTAGATAAGTTTAATTTTTTATAAAGGACGATTGAAGGCTGATGCACTTAGGGGCAAACCGTGTAAGTAGTTGTTCAAAGAACAAGCCTTCAAGATATTACTTTGTTTGTCTAAACCAATTTGATTCGTTAAAATTTTTTTAATACGATTTGGCTAGTTGTTATGTCATACAACATAAAGAAAATCCATTTATTGGGCCATTAGAACGTGATAGCTAAGCTCACGTGATATAAATTTCCTGATGTAATATTTATTTAAAAATGTCGATCATTTTACCATAAATTATATTTGTAGACAAACCTTATTTTTATAGATTAGCTTTTTATTACATTAATAGAAAAGGTTTTTTAAATTACATTTTAATTTAAAAATACAAAATTAAAATTAATTAATTATATTCTATTAATTATATATTGAAAAATTATAAATAAAAAATTTTTTTATAACTTTTTTAGCCCTATTAAATCAATCTAATTCTAGTAGGTTACAAATATCATTATAAAGGTTTTGAAATAAAAAGTTTTAATATCCTTTGACATTATATAACTTAGATTTAATCAAATTTAATATTAATTTTTTATTATATTAAAAGCTTCTAAAGGTTTCAACTTCTTAATTTTTATATCAACTTTTCAATTATATTTAATAAGTTTCATAAATTTAATATCTCAAACTGTTTTTATATAAATTAGATTATTAAATAACAGTCACACCTTTTAGAACTAAAAATAAAAAGTGTGATTATAATAAAAAGTGACTATATAAGAGGGATTTTATATATTGTTACTAAGTATTAATTTTAAAAGTGTATGATTATAAAAATACTATAATTATAAAGGAATTTTTTATATAGCATTAATAGATATTAATTCTTATGAAATATGTGCTTATAATGAAAGATTTATATGATGTAATTATATAGAAAATGACTATAGAGGGATACAACTATATATATTTTTTATAAATTGCATATTATATTTTTTTAATTATTTAATAAAAATTTGTTATTTGAATTTTAAAAATATGTTGTAAATTTATTAACATAATCAACTGTAACTTTAAATTCTGTAGATTCTTTAAAAATATTACCTATACAGAGGTTAATTTAATGGTAAAAATATAACTAATATTATTAAAATCCTTAATTTACGCTTAATATAAAATAGAATTTTAATATTTAAAATAAATTAAAAAATAAATTAATAAATTAATAAAACTTACCTAGCTGTTATATACAGTGTGAGACAAAAAAACCAGAATTTTTTTTTGAGAAATAAAAAGATGCAGATTTCAACTAAATCAAATCCGATCTGAACAATATAAAAAGAAAAATAATCGTAAGGTAAATGAGTATATAATTTTTTTTTGTATTACTAAATATTAAAAAAATTTTTTCATTTCCTCCCCTCAATATCTTTAATTTTTTAAAAAACCCTAAAAAATCAATTAATTAGAAACAATGACCTTCAGACAAGAAACTAACCATTAAGCAATCTTACAATTATGAAATTGGAGTATTAAGCTTTGTGAATCTGAGACGATTCAGCATGTAGAAGGAAGTGGTCGTTCAAAAAAGATTATGGCTAATACATCAAGAGCATTAGCCCAATTTGTCTACTGAGATTCTTCTATTTCAACAAGGACTCTATTAACGAGATTGTCATTGAAAGGTGTAGATGTATCCTATAAGACAATAGAAAGGCATTTAGCCAAAATTGGATACTAAAAAGACCTTTCAAGAGCAACGCCGATACTGACTGCAGACCATAAATGTAAACAGGTAAAATGAACCTAAAATCATCCTAATGATGATTGGAATAAAACTTTGTTTTCAGATGAGATTGCCTTCCAATTGTTCCAGAATACTGTAGAGCACTGGCATAAAGGACAACGACTGATACTCCCTATACCTAAAGATCGAACAAAAATTTTTGCATAAGGAGGATTTTGTGTAAAAGAAAAAACAAGTTTATATTATTTTTCTAAAATAATGAATGCTGAATTTTATGTAAACATACTCTGTAGCCACCTTCCAGAGATTGAAGACTTGTTGAGAGATGAATAGCATTTTGGCAAGACAATAATCTAAAATACACTAGCAATCATATCAAAAAATTTTTTTAAAAAAATTTTTCTGAAATTATTGACTAGCCTTCTAATAATCTGAATCTAAATTCAATAGAAAACCTTTGAAGTATTGTTAAAAGGAATGTGAAGAAGAAAATGCTAAAGAATACTGATAATTTATGCCAATATATGATCAAAGAATGAGACAATATTTCAGAATCAACCCTAATTAGATTAGTAAGATCAATGAAACACCAATATGAACTTATTATAGAAAATAATGGTTAACAAATTCTGTTCTAAAAAAATATTAATAAAATTAGCTAGTTTTTAGTTTTAAATATATATAAATTTTATTTAGTTATTGTCATTAGTTTTTGTGTAATGTGTATTTAAAAAATTTTGGTTTTTTTTGTCTTACACTGTATATCTTTTTCAAATGGT